GTATGTATGTATGTATGTATGTATGTATGTATGTATGTATGTATGTGTATATATATATATATATATATATAGTTAGGCTAAGTGATGCATTAAATGAATATTGAGAAAAGGCCATGAGACAAACTAGAAAATTCAAGCATCAGAGAGCAAGGGTTAAATGCAACTTTCTATTAAATATACAATTCCACTATGTAATTTTACTTAAGCCTGATTAATTTCAATTAAGTACAAAGAAATTTGCATATATATTCTGCATTAATAGCACCTTTGCCAACATTTATAATTTCTGAAGCATCCAACTAAATCTACTTACTCTGCAATTTGGTTTAACTGTTTATTAAGTAACTATATTCAAGCAAACATATCTCAATTTAAAGAGACATTCATCTCCTTCTTTTACTTACGGTAAATATTTGAACATCATAGAAACATCTATCTTTAAGTAAGTAGAGCTTCCAAATGGGACTGAACTGAGGAACTACAGGAATTGTTTCTAAGTAAGCCCAAATATTAGCTAAACAGATAAAGTTGACTTTTGTATAAAAAGAACTTCCAAAACATTTAGTTCTAACATTTTTAAACATTATAATCCAGGTTAGTTGCCCTACAGAAATCTTTATATATTATTGTAGCAAGTTATCAGAATGGTCATAAAAGAACATGCTAAATATTATTTGAAATAGCAGGGTCTTGCAATCTAAGCAATTGGGTTTATGCCATGCAATTAAAATAACAAAATTAAAGGTGGAGAGATCAGATTTAAGTTCTGAGCTACTTGGATCCTTCTTGGTGACATTTGTATCTTTTGTCCTAAGTATTGTATGGATAACCTGATAAGAAATTCCCACATATGCTATCTTGATCTCTTAGAAGAAAAGTTGCGTGTGTGTGTATGTATGTAATAAAATATAAATAATATAATTTGTCATTCTAAAGTAAATGAACATATTATAGGAATTACTCATTCCTTGTTAGAACTTTATTTTACATGACTAAGATAATTAAGCTAACCTATTCAACAAAAATCTTTACTTGAGTTAATGTCCATGGTTAAAAAAGTGCAATGCAAACATTTATTTCTTTATACTTCATATTTCTTAACTGCAAATCTCCCTCAGAGAATGATTCTTGGTGGTGTACAATATCATCAATAAAATGAAACAAAGTCAGAATAATTTAGGATTAAAAGTTTTAAAATTATAAACACATTATAAACAATTCAGAAAGTGAAGAATTCCAAGATAGTAGATTAACAGTTGTTAAAACAGGTGTTGTGGGAAGAGAGAGGTGGGTTCTCATGGAGCCAGCCAACCCCATGGGCCTTGTGTCATCCCCCATGCAATGCTAGACAGCCACATTTTGACCCCTTTATGTTATAATAATTAAGATTCATATTCAAGAGCCAAGGTGGCGCAGTGGTTAAAAGCAGCACTGCAGGCTACTGCTAGATCAGCAGGTCAGCGGTTCAAATCTCACCGGCTCAGGGTTGACTCAGCCTTCCATCCTTCCGAGGTGGGTAAAATGAGGACCCAGATTGTTGGGGGCAATATGCTGACTCTCTGTAAACCGCTTAGAGAGGCCTGAAAGGCCTATGAAGCGGTATATAAGTCTACTGCTATTGCTATTGCTATATAGTTTTTCTCTTGAATTTTGTCTGACAAATACTTATTAGCATCATTAATATTTTTATCCATAGGTTAGACATGTACATTAATCCTAAAGAATTCTGAGTGTTCTTGCTGTCTTTTCCTCTGTCCATGTTCACGGATATCCTAAGCATGACTGAGAAATAATAATGATGCTTATGGCACTCACCCAGTGAATGCATAGCAAATAACATATCAAACCATGGTCATCTGTGGTTTGCCACTTCCTCTCCTTTTTGGTTGATATCTCAAAAATCTTTGTACTAATTGATATTTCTTGTTCCTTTTATAGTTTTTGTGATCAACACTGAACATCTGTGAATAGAATGTGGGTAAAGCTAATGTTTCCCTTTCCTAAAGCAGAGGTAAAAAATAAAGATAAAGTAGTTGGAAATGCTACTCCAGGACTAGCTCAGCTAAGACTACTGTAGCACAACCAACATAAAAATGCAATTATTAACTCAAATGATTTATAAGAAAGATACTCAATTTGACTCAATTAGAAAATAATAATATTTACATTGGTTCAGGAAATATGAGTTTATATTAATGACAATTGGCTCAGGAAACATGAGGTATAATGCCAATACATTATATTCATAATCCCAAGAAATAACATTTAATTGAATTTCTGATTTTCTAAATTCTGATAAACTTATCCAATCTGATTTTAATATCTAAATCCTAATATTCCCATCCAAAATTTGCAATTCATATTAAGTATCCATCAATAGGTTACAGATACATTTTAAGAGAAAATATGCCTAAAAATATCAATTTCATTATGAATACCAGTTCCTTCTTGATACTCTAAATGAATGCCCAAATGAAGTAGAATGGAATGGCTGTTACTAAACTACTTCAAAAATCATATACATTAAAAAAAAAGATTAATTCCCCTTACAAGAATAAAATGGAAGAAATGATAAAAATGTAAACATGACAATAGTAAAGCAATGAAACAATACAAATAAACAAAGTACAATAATATCAAGCAAAAGATGGTCTGGGGGGCAGGAAATGCAAAGGGGAGATTGGGTCAGCTAATTAGTCCAGTAGCCATCTCCAGTATAGTTTTCCCCATAGGTTCCCCAGGTCAACTGACAAAGCCAAGTCTTCAAGTCCTTTCAGGACAGAAAGATGAGGGCAGACTTCACTGAGGGGAGGGGGGCATGACGGGGAAATTAAGAATGTTCGTCAGGGTTAGCATTACAGCAGAGAAGTCGCCTTTATATACTTTATGCACCTCTTCGTTATGCTGGCAGATGCTTCTCTCTTTCTATTTGGGGCCATGATGGCACAGTGGTTAGAATGCAGTATTGCAGGCTAATTCTGCTGACTGCCAGAGTTCAAGTCTCACCGGCTCAAGGCTGACTCAGCTTTCGATCCTTCCGAAGTCAGTAAAACGAGGACACAAATTGTTGGGGGCAATATGCTGCCTCTGTAAACCTCTTAGAGAAGTCTGTAAAGCACTGTGAAGCAGTATATATGTCTAAGTGCTACTGCTACTGCTATTCTGATTTTGAAGAATCAAAATGAACAATATAGCAATATTAAGAGAAAAGGCTTTGTTTTAGTCCTTCTATTTTCATTCACATATTACACGGGGGTTTGGACAAAGTATGTTTATAGCACAGGTTGAATGATCTAGCACAATATAGACTATTTAAAAACAGAATAATTTCTTAAATTTTATTTCAGTATTCCACTGAGGGCTTTTTTTTTTTTTTGAAGATTTAATTCTAAGAGCAACAGTAAAATCCATTAATTTTTTGATGTAAATAAGCTTCGTTTTTGCAAAAAGGGATTTTTATACAGTGATAAGTTGAAACCTACACGGTGAATATAATAATTGAATACTATTAATATTTGTAAAAAAAAAAGTTTCTGAGATTTTTAGCTTCACCAAAGTTTCTTGAAAGACATATTTTGTCAGAGCATCTTGAGAGACATACTTAGTACCAAGCACTAAAGTTCCCAGGACACCCTGAGAGAAATGGATTGGTTGTGACATTAGCTTAAATTTATATTTTAAAGGTTCAGAAGTTAACTTCATCCTTGCATCCAAAATGTACTTCTTTCATACTAGTGTAAAGTCCTTGCCAATGAAATACTGTATATACTACAGAATACTTCAAATCCTTGGAAAGTGCTACACAATCATCCAAACTATTAATATTATGATAATTGTTTAACAACAAGCATGTGACTATTCATTTATTTATAAAGAAAAAAGACAGTGTTGTTCATAAAGACTCCATAGGGTATATATAAGTCTATTAAACACAATACCTTCTTAGACATATTCATTTTTTGGGATTCTTGGTGTTCTCTGAACTTGGTTGCTTTCTTGCAGACATTTCATTACCAAACTAGGTAGCATCTTCAGTGCTCTGAGGAGCATGAAGTGCTCTGAATTATCTAATTTGGTAATGAAACATCTGCAAGAAAACCACAACGAGAGCATCAAGGATACTACAGTTCAACCCTGAGCTATAAATATTCTCTTCCATGGTACATCCATTTTTATCTGGCTAAAGTCTGGATGAAAATAATGGATGGATAAAAATAAAGGAAGAATAGGGTTCTTCAGTGCTTAGAGTATATTCTAAGAAAGCCCCTGTCTTGTTAGGAGAGGCAAAGCAACAGCTCTTTGCAAAAATTGCATCATTACACTAGCCTCCTCTCAGATGCCTAGGTCCCAAATGAGAGGAACATTATGGGCAAGCACTCCATATTTTAACCTACCTCTTCCTGCATCATTCACAAGGAACTGAGATTCTCTGACTTCCTTCGCATGATCTTCAGCCTCTTCAGATTCAACTCCTAATGATAACCGATCAACGTTGAACGTGTTCAAGTTGGGCATGTTTTGCTCATCTTTGGTCACATTTAGCTCTGATCCAGTGGCATGCTGGTAAACTGTGGAAGAGAAATGAAATAAATGAATGCCATTCTTACTAGTCAGGCAAAACTGGCAAAGGTGTTTATCTGAAAATTACACTTGGCAATTATTGCACATGTAGTTACTCTTATTCCCATAGTGAGTCATTCAAAAAACAGCTCTCAGTTTTTCTAAGGTGAATTTGTTTAGATTTCCCCAGAACCTTAAAATTGGCTGGCCAACCTCCAAGTTATTGCATTCCATTAACCAGAATCTTAGCAAGTGTTCTTATTGATCTTCTACAGTGGGTACAAGCCACTACACAATGGATTTTGACCAAGCAACTAACAAAAACAAATACCTGGTCACTCTGATTTAAAGTTTGCAACATGTTTTCTCCTTTTCTAAAATCATAAGCAGTTATTCAATATTTAAAATTCATCTAGCAAAGAAATTACCATTTAAAACCTGAAGACCAAGAATCACTTTGAATTAAGCTCCATTCAAGCATTGTGGGGTGTAAACAATGCTTCTTAATTCAAATTCTGCTTCACACAATATGCTCTCATCACCCTGACCCCTCTAAAATAGTGGAAAAATAATGAGTGCCTCCTTTTGTGATTTAATTAAACAAGAAGCATCGACAGCAAAATATTGTTATGTCAAGACCTACAAGAATACAAGGAAGCTTAGGCAGGCTCAAATCAAGAGACAGCTGAGTTGTAATTCCCCACTCAGCAAAAAGATCTCCAATTTTGTGACTTGCCAAACTGTTCTTAGCAGGGTTCTTGTATGGTAAGGAGAGAAAAAGGAGATACGGAGGTACGGAAAATAAAATAGACATAAACTTATAGACTGAATCACAAATATAGCAACGAGATTTTGAGGATGGCTTGAATGGGGCTCCCATATACGTCACTTTCAAATACCCAAAACGACAAAGTCAAACTAAGAAGTGCAAAAGAGAGAAGGAGCTGGCAGGAAACGCAGAAGGTACCCCCGCTACTGCGCCTCAGCCTTTCAGGCGCCTCCTATTTCCAAACAGCAGTGCAATTTCAGCATAACTTTAAATAAATGGGAAAAACGGAGCCCAATTCAGAAGTTCGCAGCGAGCTACGACCCTAATGCCAGCAACGCACCACTCTCCAAATTCCCAGTTCGAGCGCCCTTGGTGCGGCCGCCGAAGCTTTGCGCCCCCTCTGCCCCGCCTCTCGACAGGGTCCATCGCTCGCTCGCCCACTCACCTGGACTCCGGAGCAGCGGGAGGAGAAGGAGGAGAAAGAGTGGTGCAGGCATTGAGGGGAAAGGAGCGTCCTCGGGGACCGGTTTGCTTAATAAAGACTGAAGGAAAAGCGCGCTGAAGCGGTTGAGGAGGACTCCCTTGGTGCCTAGCGAGTGTTATCCTCGGAGCGGCGGCAAGACACTCCATACCCATCGAGCGAGGGATATATATGCAGTGCTGCCGCCACCACTGAGAGGCCGGCAGTCAGGCAGGGCGGTCAGATGAAGCTCGACGTCAGCCGGGTGGGGAAGGGAACAGGTGCGTCTCGGGTCGGGAGACATCACCCAGTTGCGTGTGGCACAAAGAGCAAGCAGGTCGCGGAGGCGGACCGGCAGCGGCAAGCCGTCGGATGAGTCAGCTAGGGTCACGCTAGTCCTCAATGGCTGTAGAAGTCTTTTCAAGTATACAGAAGCGGAAGATCGACTAGTTGAGAGCTAGGCAGGTCGGATTGTGTGCCTCGAGCTGCCCACGAAGGGAGTTGCCCCCAAAGGGAGCTGAAGGATAAGGACCTCCAGTATGCCTTTCATATTCAGAATGGACTGCATGGGACTTTGGGGAGATTCCAGCCACATTTTCCTTTTCAGGCGTTTTCCTTCTAGCATTATGGAAGCAGTAACTCTGCATTCAAACATGGCAACCTTAAGCTGCATAGATTTCACCTCCCAGAATTCTCCAGGGAGCATGCAGCCCTGCAACTGAAGAAGCCATATGAAATGATTTAAAAAGTGGAAGGAAGAGATTCCTCATTTTCACATTATTCCCCTATGGAAAGCAGCTGTACAGTAGCAATAGCACTTAGACTTACTGCTTCAAAGTGCTTTATAGCCTTCTCTAAGTAGTTTATAGAGTCAGCATATTGCCCACAACAATCTGGCTCCTCATTTTACCAACCTCGGAAGGATGGACAGCTGAGTCAACCTTCATCCTGGTAAGATTCGAACTTGCCAAATTTCAGCCAGCTGGCAAAAGTAGCCTGCAGTACTGCATTTTAACCACTGCACTATCACACCACACTTTTCATCATCCACTGCATAGTAGCAAAGGTTATGTTCTAAGTTGCATCTAACCAAGGTACAAATATTACTTGGTAACATCATTGGCTGCCTTGTCAGGACATTGCCCTCACCTCTCCAGTCTATGAATGAGATACCTGGCCCAAGAATATCCACAAGAGAGAGTCCAGTATGATTTAATTGCAGCTGCCAGTTTGATTTTTGTGCCTCCCCATCAGGATATCCCTGGCTGCAACATTAAAGTAAAATTTCCCCTGTATTATGACACCATAAAATGTATCAAGTTTTGTCATACGTGAGCTTGAAAAATGTCTGGGCACTACTGATGCTGGAAAGAGACAACTGAGATAGATAACAATTGGCAATGGGAACAGCAAATTTCATTGTGGTATATTTGTGATCCTGACAGGCTCAGCCTTCCATCCTTCTGAGGCTGATAAAATGAGGAGCTAGATTGTTGGGGACAATATGCTGACTCTGTAAACCACTTAGTGTTATAAAGCACCTTGAAGCGGTATATAAGTGCTATTGCTATTTTTGTCCAGTTCTGTAGGCAGAATTGTATCATGATAAAGGAAAAAGAGGCATAGTGTTAGTACAGTGGAACCTCCAGTCACGACCGTAATCCGTTCCAGGACTTTGGTCGCAACCCGATTTGGTCGTGACTGGAAGCAAGACTGACTGCGCATGCCCATTAAAAAATGATGTGGCAGGGGAAGTTGCCGCAGCAGGGAAAATCACCACGGCAGTGTTTGATCATCACCCGAGTATTTGTTTTGCGACCAGACGCAAAAAAATTGCAAAATTTTTGTTCGGCACCTGATTTGGTCATGGTCAGAAGCATTCATGACCCGAGGTTCTACTGTACTTGAAGCACAAGCAATTTAGCATTTATAGTTTACAAATGACTGTAATAGCTTTTGATGTTGTTGATACAAACACATCTCACAAAGAATGGCCCTGAAGTTGGATGCAATTGCCTAAATACAGTGCATTCTGAAAGTATTAAAAAAAATCACTTTTGTCAATTTTGTTATGCTGCAGCCTAATTCTACAGTTGTTGAAATTCATTTTTTTCCTCATTAATGTATATATTCAGTATTTCATAACAACTATTTAAAAACAGAATTTTAGAAATGTCTGTAAATTTATTAAAAAGAAAAAACTGAAATATCACATTGGCGTAAGTATTCAGACCCTTCACTCAGTACTTCGTTGAAGCACCTTTGGCAGCAATTATAGCCTTGAGTTTTTTGTTATGATGTGACAAGCTTTGTACACCTGGATTGGGGGATTTCCACCATTCTTCCTTGCAAATCCTCTCAAGCTCGAGTCAGGTTGCATGGTGACTGTTGGTAGACAGTCATTTTCAGGCCCCTCCAGAGATATTCAGGAGGATTCATGTCAGGGCTCCGGCTATGCCATTCTAGAAAATTCAGAGTTATCCCTAAGCCATTCCTGTGTTCTTTTGGTGATATGCTTAGGATTGTTGTCATGTTGGAAAGTGAACCACTCTCCCTGCTGCTCAAAAAACACACCCACAGCATGATGCTGCCACCATTATGCTTCACTGTTGGGATGATATTTATAATTTGTAATTTTAATAGATTTGTATGCCGCCCAATCCCGAAGGACTCCGGGCAGCTTACATAAAAGCAATTAAAATTTTTTTTAGAAAAGATTAAAACACAAGAGAGAACGACTTAAAAACAGAAACACAACGTGCACTCAGTTGTAATGGGGCTGAAGTTCAGTCAAGATCAACAGCCCCAGGCCTGCCGGAACAGCCAGTTCTTAACAGACTTACGGAAGGCCAGGAGAATGGGGAGGGTCTGGATCTCAGGGGGTAGATCATTCCAAAGGGCCGGGGCAGCAACAGAGAAGGCTCTCCCCCAGGAGCCGCCAGATGGCATTGCATAGCCGACGGTACCCAGAGAAGGCCCGCCCTGTGCGATGTTATTGGACGCTGGGAGGTATGTTGCAGGAGGCGGTCACGGAGATATCCAGGTCCTAGGCCATGTAGGGCTTTATAGGTAATAACCAGCACCTTGAAGCGTGTCCGGAGACCGATGGGAAGCCAATGCAGCTCACGGAGGATAGGTGTAACATGGGCGTACCTAGGTACATCCAGTATCGCTCGCGCGGCTGCATTCTGGACCAATTGTAGTCTCTTGACACTCTTCAGGGGCAGCCCCATGTAGAGCGCGTTACAGTAGTCGAGCCTTGAGGTGACGAGGCCATGAGTGATCATTTGGAGTGCCTCCCGGTCCAGGTAGGGCCGCAACTGGTGCACCAGGCGAACCTGGGCAAAAGCTCTCCTGGTCACAGCTGACAAGTGATGTTCTAATGTCAGCTGTGGGTCCAGGAGAACACCCAAATTGCGGGCCCTCTCTGAGGGGTGTAAGATTTCACCCCCAGGTTTAGAGGTGGAATATCTGGACTATTTTGGGGAGGCAGCATCCAAAGCCACTCAGTCTTGTCAGGGTTGAGCGCAAGCTTGTTCATTCCCATCCAGACCCTGATAGCTTCCAGGCACTGGCACATTACTTCCACTGCTTCACTGAGTTGGCATGGGGCAGACTGATACAACTGGGTATTGTCCGCATACTGGTGGTATTTAATCCCGTACCTACGAATGATCTCACCCAGCAGCTTTATGTAGATGTTAAATAGGAGGGGGGCAGGACTTAGCCCTGCAGCATCCCATATTCAAGGGGCCTAGGAGTCAACCTCTGTCCTCCGACCAACACCGACTGCGACCTGCCAGAGAAGTAAGAGGAGAACCACCGCAAAACAGTGCCTCCCACTCCCACCTCTTCCAGCCGCCGCAGAAGGATACCATGGTCGATGATATCAAAGGCCGCTGAGCGGTCAAGAAGCACCAGGATAGAGGAATGCCCTCTATTCCTGGCTCGCCAGAGATCATCGGTCAGTGCGACCAAAACGGTTTCGGTGCAGTAACCAGGCCTGAAACCAGACTGAAAGGCATCTAGATAATCCGCTTCATCCAAGGTCCGCTGGAGTTGAGAGACCACCATCTTCTCAACAACCTTCCCTAAAAATGGGAGGTTGGAGACTGGACAGTAGTTTTTAAGGACAGCCGGATCCAGAGCAGGCTTCTTGAGGAGGGGTCTCACCACCGCTTCCTTCAAAGGTTGCGGGAAAGACCCCTCTCGAAGCGAGGTGTTTACAATCCTCTGGATCCAGCCCCGTGTCACCTCTCTGCCGGTCGAAACCAACCAGGAGGGACAAGGGTCCAGTAGACAGGTGGCGGTACTCATCGCTCCCATGGCCTTGTCCACTTCCTCAAGAGTGGCAAGCTGGAACTCACTCCACAAAGTTTGATCAAGGCTCTCCCTCGGCATGTCTGCTGGCACTGTCCAATGGTGTCCAGGTCTGTTCGAATCTGAGTGACCTTATCCAACAGAAACTGAACAAATTCCTCAGCTCTTCCCTGTAAGGGTTCACTCGCAACCCTTCCTTTCAGGAGGGAGCGGGTTATCCTAAACAGGGCGGCCGGGCGAGATTCTGCGGACGCAACAAGGGCAGAAAAATGTGCACATTTTGCTGCCCGTATCACCACTAGATAAGACCTAATAAAGGTGATATTGGGCAGGTTTCTCCAGACATAACACTTAGAATTGAAGCCAAACAGTTCCATCTTGGTTTATCAGACCAGAGAATCTTGTTCCTCACAGTCTAAGAGTCCTTCTGGTGCTTTTTTGCGAACTCCAGGCTTTCATCTATTTTGCACCGTGGAGAGGCTTCTGTCCAGCCACTCTGCCATAAAGTCCAGATTGGATAAGAATTGCAGTGATGGTTGTCCTGGAACCTTCTCCCCCAATTGCTCAGTTTGACTGGACAATCAGGCCTTGGAAGAGTCCTGGTTGTGGCAAACTTCTTCTATTTGAGAAGTATGGAGGTCACCGTGCTCTTAGGAAGCTTCAGTGCAGCAGAAATTTTATTGGAGCCTTCCCCAGATCTGTGCCTTGCAATAATCTTATTTTTGAGGTCTGCAGGCAGTTCCTTTGCCCTTATGGCTTTTGTTCTGCTGCAGTATGCATTGTCATATGTGATATATTATATAAATCATTAGATCATGCCCAATCAATTTAATTTACCACATGACAACTCCAATCAAGGTGTAGAAACATGTCAGCAACAATCAAGAGAAATGGGAGGCACCTGTGCTAAATTTCAATTGTTGTTGCAAAGGCTCTGAATATTTAG